GTGATGACCATTTCAATGTCATAGTTATCATTCACCGGCGGGTCGTGATAATTGATTCCCGCTGCATCAAGCTAAAAAAGAGTTGGCGTGCTTAAATATTGTTTAGCATCAAATTGGCTCTAATTTTAATTGGATTGAAGAAAAACTACCTTCATCATGTATTTACATCGCTCTCGGAGAAAACGCAGTAGATCTCCGTCACTGCAGTACTCAATAATGAGACAGAGTGGTTCCGACTCCGTGATACAAGCCAGCATATTGACAAGCCTTAAGTATTTTTTGATACCCAACGAGGAATTTTCTGCTTTGATCCGTTTGTTTGTATATGTACACTATGATCCTTAATCAGTGTTTCAACATATAGATTTTAAAATTACGATATTACGGTGAAGAACTCTGCTGAACATTCTTCTTCAAGCCTAAAGCGAACAAAAATTTAAAATTTGCGGGCTGCTTTCGGATTCCGTTTCAGTCCGCCAATATCTCTGATATACGGAGGGAGGAGTTCTTGTGGTTTCCCCTTCGCGTCAAGCATTCATCACATTTGGTATGACAGATCTGTATGTGCCATTACTTGTGTACATGAGCTACAACTCAGAAGCTTTATCAAGCGCAGGACCAATGCCAGGCACAGTCGGACCAGTTGGCCGCATGCCTCGCATCACGCGCAAAGTATTCTGGATAAATACAGTAATCACAGTTGAAAGAATAGTATGCTAAAGTGCGACACGCCGCGCGTTTCTTACGTTCTTACCCACAGAAATTTAGGTACCCTGAACTACTACGATAATATAAGATCAATAAAAGCAGGAGGAAGGGCTCGTAAGGTGGGTCACAAATGAAATTAGTAAACACATGGTATATTTACTCAAGATTCATATTTGAACAATTTTTGAATTTGAAATAAATAATACCTTTCGTGATATCCAAGTGTCTTCATAAGTCCAATTTCCCTTAAAAATTCGCTTCTGGACATATCATCGGCATACTCTGGCAGCATCTTTACAGCAACCTAAGCTAAATAATTTCCACCAAAGAGAAGTAGCAACAAAATAAGAATAAACCAATCCAGGATGGTTATTACCAATCTGATCTGGCCTATTCATATGAGTATATTTGCACAATTATTCTAACCAACCTGGCAATTTTCTGCCCTCATTAAATTAACACCTAGTGGTGACGTGGCATCCTTGTTTGTTACCGATTTGCCAAGAAGCTTCCCTGAAGAGTAAAAGACACTAATATACTGTACGTTGAAATGATTTTTTCTTCGAAAATGCTCACCCAGGTAAACGGCTCCAAACGCGCCGGAACCGAGCTTAACTTCATCGAAAATTACTAGATTACGACGTTCGATT